TGTTAGTGGCTCATGGTGGCCCACGATGGCTCATGGTGGTCATGTTAGTGGCTCATGGTGGCCACAATGGCCCATGGTGATTATGGTGGCCATGTTAGTGGCCTATGGTGGCCATGATGGCCCATGGTGGTCATGGTGGCCATGTTAGTGGCCTATGGTGGCCATGATGGCCCATGGTGGCCATGTTGGTGGCCCATGGTGGCCCACGATGGCCCATGTTGGTCATGATGGCCCGTGGTGGCCCATGGTGGCCATGGTGGCCATGTTGGTGGCCCATGTTGGTCATGATGGCCCATGGTGGTCATGGTGGCCCATGATGGCCCATGTTGGTCATGATGGCCCATGGTGGTCATGGTGGCCATGTTAGTGGCTCATGGTGGCCCACGATGGGTCATGGTGGTCATGTTGGTGGCCCATGGTGGCCATGATGGCCCATGGTGGTCATGGTGGCCATGTTAGTGGCTCATGGTGGCCATGATGGCCCATGGTGATTATGGTGGCCATGTTGGTGGCCCATGGTGGTCATGATGGCCCATGGTGGCCATGTTGGTGGCCCATGGTGGCCACGATGGCCCATGTTGGTCATGGTGGCCCACGATGGCCCGTGGCGGTCATGGTGGCCATGTTGGTGGCCCATGGTGGCCGTGGTGGCCCATGGTGGTCATGGTGGCCATGTTAGTGGCTCATGGTGGCCATGATGGCCCATGTTGGTCATGGTGGCCCACGATGGCCCATGGTGGCCATGATGGCCCATGGTGGCCATGTTAGTGGCCCATGGTGGCCATGATGGCCCATGGTGGCCACGATAGCCCATGTTGGTCATGGTGGCCATGTTAGTGGCCCATGGTGGCCATGATGGCCCATGTTGGTCATGGTGGCCCACGATGGCCCATGGTGGCCATGATGGCCCATGGTGGCCATGTTAGTGGCCCATGGTGGTCATGATGGCCCATGGTGGTCATGGTGGCCATGTTGGTGGCTCATGGTGGCCACGATGGCCCATGTTGGTCATGGTGGCCCACGATGGCCCGTGGCGGTCACGGTGGCCACGTTGGTGGCCCGTTGGGCTCTGACCCCCGTCGGCCCCCCCAGGTGAAGGTGCTGAAGAGCATCAGCCCGGTGGCGGCGGAGGACGTGGTGCTGGGGCAGTACGTGGGCGACCCCGACGGCCCCCCCGCGGCCACCAAGGGCTACCGGGACGACCCCACCGTGCCACCGGGATCCACCACGCCCACCTTCGCCACCGCCGTGCTGCGCGTCGCCAACGAGAGATGGGACGGTGGGCGATGGGGGCACTGGGGGGAACTGGGATGGAGCTGGGATGGCACTGGGATGGCACGGGGGTGGCAATGGGGGCGCTGGGGTGGCACTGGGGGCACTGGGAGCACTGGGATGGCACTGGGATGGCACTGGGATGGAGCTGGGATGGCATTGGGGGCACTGGGAACACTGGGATGGCAATGGGGGCACTGGGGTGGCAATGGG